TCCTTGGCCTCGGCATCTAAGCCTCCATTGAATGTGGTTTTGTCTTTTGATGGATAACACAGAAACACCAGAATGAGGGCAACGGTCATGATAATGGTGATGAGTGCCACAAATACCCACCACCAACAGAAACCATTACTATCGTCATCGCCACCGCCACCGCCATCAACAGTAGGAGATCTTGTCATTTCATTATCTGACTTCAAGCTCTCGCCAAATTTAAGTCCATTCATATTTGTGTATTGGTTCCATATTAAGACAATTATAAATAAGAAATACTTCTTTAATAAGATTTTCTTCATTTTTAATCATATTTTGGTTCAAATTTTGAAGTTAATGTCTAACTGTAAGACTCTATTTGAGATAATGAACCTAACAATACAAAAATATACATTTATTATTGTTGATCTAATTCTGTGCCTATGAATTCTGTAATACCAAACTTTTATCAACAGATTAAACTTGGTTATAACTTATAACTAACAAGAATAATATAAAAATAAAACTTAATATACTGTACTTTAACTAAATTATTACAATGGACATGTGTTACTTGAATGTAGGATTTACAATATTTAACTAATAAATTATTATTAACCTTCAATAAGCCTAAAAGTTATATAATAATAATATTATAATAAAAAAGTTTTGAATATAATTCTGAATTTGAGACCAAATGTTAAAAATATTGACACAAAGAATGAGGAGTGTGTCTGAACTTAATTTTTTTATAAACTAGGAAAAAATATGGTAATTTACCCAAAAAAAACTCATTTCCGATGGTATTATTACCGCACATTTAAGATTTTTTATTTAAAACCCGTTTGACATATGTTAGCATTTAATAAAAAGATATCAAAATATTTGTCGACAAATGTGAGGACCGGTGGGTGACATGGGCTCAGTTTGTATTTTATGTATTTTTTGATAAAAAACACGAATAGAATTCAAATGAATTGAAACTTTCTTTTATAAAACATTTGCAACCAAACGATCGCTTCACAACGTTTCAGAGAAAAAAATATCGCAAAAAGGGTTGGGAGGNATTACTTTATTGAAATCAATAATTTTATAAACTTCTTCGTGTGACTGCTGTTCAATGAGCACCGTTTCCGCCGAAGTGATACATCCACTGCACGCCAAACAGTCGCCCAAAGATATCTCCACTTTTGTCTTCACATTCTTCTTCTCTTTCGACCTCTCGATTGGTTTAATGCACGCCTGGAAGCGATAAAATAAAATAGAGATTAATTTCATCAATTCAATGAACTAAATCTCACCAGAAGTTAGTATAAACATAGGAATGGCTGACTCTAACTCATAATCACTATCAATGAGAACATCTCTTAAGCGAAGTTTTGAATCAAAATTTATAGTTTCATTGGTTTTGCAGCTCTTATAGCTCACTATTATATCGTTTGGTCTATATTTGTGTTTTGGGTCCCATTCGGCAAACTCTTCAAACATGACATTCAAGTGTTGCAAAAAGGTATCGTTTTCTGCAAACTTCTCAATGAAGTCTGACTGTCCGTACTCGGGATATAAGAACAAAACGGGCCAAACCAGACCTCCAGACTCATCGAGGGTCACATGCTTTCCATGGGCCGCCGGATGTATTGACTCAAACAAAGAACTCTTAAATTTAATGCCTCTCGAGTTAACAACACTTAAAATCTTCTCTTCGGTTCGCTTTTGTTTAAGTCTTTGGGTTTTGTTTTTCCTTTCATTTCTTTCCGCTATTTTCGCTTCAATGGACGCCTTCTTCTCGTATTCGGACAACACATCGATATTCTTGTGGCCATTGTCTCGACAAACCTCCAAACACTTTGAGTACTCTTTTAGCTCGAAATGACACAAAACAATACGAATCAAAGCCTTTGTATTATTTGAGTCCAATTCATAGGCTTTTAAGGCATCGTTCAGTGAAGACCTATAGTTCTGGAGGTGATAGTGAGCCGAAGACCTGTTGTTATAGACAACGGAATTGAGTTTATCGTCTTTGCAGTCGATTTTAATGGCTTCGGTGTACGAGTCGAGAGCCCAGCGATACTTCTTTCGCCGAAAATTCTCGTTCCCGTCCTCTCGATAGCTGTTCACCAATTCCTCCGCAGAGTTGAACTCTTTGTCGTACTTTAATTGTCTCATCGCATCCACGAGTGGCGACGACTCGTAGCCGACGTTGGCGTCGCTGCTGAAGAAGGGATGTTTCGCCATCTCTTCCCTCCAGTTGTCTTCAGTCCAGCGCTCTTTCGAGTCATCCGTTCTCAGTGTCGACTCATTTGATGATAATTTCTCCAACTCTTCGGTCAACTGTTTCAGAGACTCTTCGGCCGATTCTCTTATCAGTTGCTTCTCATTCTTGTCGTTAGTTTCGGACATTTTTGGTGATAATTACGAAGAAGTGTATGAATTGGTGGACACGTGTGAAGCAAATGAGTGGCCGATTCAGTGGTAACTTATGTGGCATTCAATGCAATCAATGATAGTATGAATGGTTATAATACCTGAGAGGGGTTTATAAAGTCGTTGAGATCTGTTATCTTGAGTGCAGAACTGAATCCAATATTAGTAGCCATTCATTGGTCTGTAATTTGGGATCAGATGTCGTATTCAGTGATCAAATCAAATGACAACACATTTGTACACAAAATACTGAAAGCATTGAAAGCATTGCGTAATGAATACGACGGCCGACAACACAACCACTCATTTGATGACAACTTTTGCCAAAAGTTTTGGGAGTTTTTCAAAAGTTTTTCTTTTCATATGAAATTGTATTTTATTATAATTAATGACTATTTAATGGCTATTATATGACACAAAAACTAATAAAATATACTTTTTATGAGAAATTTCATTGAAATGAATGTTTGAATGAATTGTGAAATGATATTTGGTTTGCTTTCAGTCGGTGTCACCTTTGAGACCACTTTCTCTTAGGCTTTACTCACATCGACATCTCATTGAATCTCAGATCTCACTTCTGGTGTCTCATTTGGGGCCAAACTTGGGTCCACAGGTGATGACTTGGGCCCAGCCTTGACTTCCTTGTCCTCATTACTAGACACAGATTTATTGTCTTTGCTATCTTTGAGGGCCACAGCGTTTGGGTTAACGGGTTTGGAAGAGCTCTTAAGTTTGAGTTTATCGTCATAAGAGCTCCTGTGCTCCGGGTACTTGTCATCCTTGGCCTCGGCATCTAAGCCTCCATTGAATGTGGTTTTGTCTTTTGATGGATAACACAGAAACACCAGAATGAGGGCAACGGTCATGATAATGGTGATGAGTGCCACAAATACCCACCACCAACTGAAACCATTACTATCGTCATCGCCACCGCCACCGCCATCAACAGTAGGAGATGTTGTCGTTTCATTATCTGACTTCAAGCTCTCGCCAAATTTAAGTCCATTAATATTTGTGTATTGGTTCCATATTAAGACAATTATAAATAAGAAATACTTCTTTAATAAGATTTTCTTCATTTTTAATCATATTTTGATGTCTAAGTTTTGGTTCAAATTTTGAAGTTAATGTCCAACTGTAAGACTCTATTTGAGATAATGAACCTAACAATACAAAAATATACATTTATTATTGTTGATCTAATTCTGTGCCTATGAATTCTGTAATACCAAACTTTTATCAACAGATTAAATAGATTGGTTATAAGTTATAACTTGGTTATAACTTATAACTTACAAGAATAATATAAAAATAAAACTTAATATACTGTACTTTAACTAAATTATTACAATGGACATGTGTTACTTGAATGTAGGATTTACCATATTTAACTAATAAATTATTATTAACCTTCAATAAGCCTAAAAGTTATATAATAATAATATTATAATAAAAAAGTTTTGAATATAATTCTGAATTTGAGACCAAATGTTAAAAATATTGACACAAAGAATGAGGAGTGTGTCTGAACTTAATTTTTTTATAAACTAGGAAAAAATATGGTAATTTACTCCAACAAAAAACTCATTTCCGATGGTATTATTACCGCACATTTAAGATTTTTTATTTAAAACCCGTTTGACATATGTTAGCATTTAATAAAAAGATATCGAAATATTTTTCGACAAATGTGAGGACCGGTGGGTGACATGGGCTCAGTTTGTATTTTATGTATTTTTTGATAAAAAACACGAATAGAATTCAAATGAATTGAAACTTTCTTTTATAAAACATTTGCAACCAAACGATCGCTTCACAACGTTTCAGAGAAAAAAATATCGCAAAAAGGGTTGGGAGGGTTGGAAGGGTAAAGAAGTAAACTTTTTATTGCTACAAAACAAACTTGAGACATATAAAAAATGTGGGGCTAGTATGCCATATCCGTTAAATTGTACCGTACTTTGAAAATATGGTCAAAAATCTTTTTTAACGTTATGTATAACTTTTTTATATAAAAAGTCTATAGTCTATGTACGATAATAGAGAATCTATTTTGAATTTATTTTTCAAACATGTATGTTTTAATAAAACAAACTCTTATTGTATAATATCCTGAATTAATGTGCCAAATGTCTAAATAGTGATAATTTGTTAAACAAACATTTTGATTAATTGCAAAGATTGTGAAATAAAACTCTAATAAAAAGCAATCAAGACATCAATCAAACAAATTCGTATTCAAATTACGAAATGATTGAAATGAAGGCCGAAATGTAGGGAATGTTGGATTCCATTCACAGAACGCATGACTTTGTATGAGAAATATTTGCTACAAATGTATTACTTTAATGTCAAGTCTGCGAGAGAAATATGTACTCTTTTATTCATTTTGATTCACTATTCAATCATTTTATAAATATAATTATTATACGTATATTT